CATGCATGTAAGGCAAGCACTCTACCACTGAGCCACCTTCCCAGCCCCCTGAAGTATTTTAATACCAGCAAAGTACAAGGCTTTCTAGTGCCATCTGATTAGTATGGCCCACGGCACTCACAGTGAATAGACAGGATCACTTGGGCCTGTTGGTGTCTCTTACCCATTTGCAATAGGAGCTGTTTTCATTTTTTTCAAAACTATTGATCTGTTTTAACCAAATTATGAATCTTCACAAACTAAACCCATTAAATGTGATACTAAGACCCTGTAATTGCTAATTCACTCAGACATGAAGGGAGAAGCTTGCCTTTTCTATATTCCCTTCATTAAAAGGTCTAGGTGTTCTGTGATAGTCTTGAGGGGCTAAAACAACTAATGCACATCTAAAGGATGAATCCTTGTGAGAAACACTCTTATCAGTATTGACTTTAAAACCATCTCTTTCCCTTCTTAGCACTTTCACCATTTCTTTTAAAAAGTGTTAATTAGGGGACCAGTGTAGGCTCACCTGGTAGAGTGCCTGAGTAACAAGGGTAAGGCACCGAGCTCAAACCTGAGTCCTACCAGCCAAAACAACAACAAAAGTATTGCATAGGGCTAGTGAGTCAAATGCAGCTAGGAGGGTCACTGCTGCTTCTGGAGGTCTCTGTGGTTTGGGCTGTTTTCCACCTCATTTAGAAAAGCTACTTCCTCATCAGTGACTTTATTCAGAATTAGATTTTTGACCTGCCTGTTGCCTTTCTCTTTTCCTCAGGTGATAAGTAGCCATTTGGAATGCTGACCTTTGCCTGTTTACTGAAGAAATAAGTTACCAAGTTCTGAAAGGGCCATGCAATTCTAGCATTCTCTGTATGTGAGACAGTCTCACTGTGGAGCCCAGGCTGACTTTACTCTAAGGATCCTCCTGCCTCAGTTCTCCTCAGTGAAGGATTACAGGCTGATGATGGTCATGAGCATTCTATGCCCTGGCTAGCTAGTGAGTGATAACAGCCTTATAGTTTTCATTTGCACTTTCCTAATGTCTTTTTGGGACAACCATACTTCTAAAAAGAATCTGAAGAGACCAACCAAGCTAAAGTGATTTCCTTTTTATAGGTGAGAGCACCTCCACCTGTTTTGGAAACAGGTGGTTTAAAAAATCCTAACATTGTGGCTTTTATACATGCATCACAGACTAATGTTAATACCTTCTTCTGACTGAGGTATATTGAAATGTCCGGTGTGGTACTTGGAGCTTGAACTTATTAGCTCTGGGAACAGAGGCAGGGGACAGTTTTGGTTTCCTTTGGGTGCTAGCAAAATAAGAAACAACCTGTTTTTCAGTCTGTATGTTTATATTATTTTATTTAAGTTACAAGCTGAGATGAAACAGATTTATAGACCACGGTTAAGACTATGGCTGTGATAGCATCTGACAGCTGCGATTCAAATCACTTCTCTGCAGACCCAGCTCTAACGCTGTGAACCTTCCTGTGCTGGACTGTGTCTGTCTAGACAGGCTGATCATGTTACCTCATGGGATTGTGTAGCTTAAAGTTGATAACTCAAAATGTTACCAGCCATATTAATGACCCAAAGATGGTGCTGTCAGAGAGGAGATGAGCAGGTCCTACAGGGATTTTAAGGCACTTGTTACGGACTTGGAGTCCTATTCTAAACGTAAAAGAGAAACACTTTGGAATCAGAGAGGGCTGTGGCTTGATCGGCGCAGCACTGACTGCCCACTAGAAATCTGGAAGCCTCTTATGCTCAGATGCTCTTCCACTGTGACTTCAGCGGCAGCAGAGGGCATGGTGACTCTAGTTTGCCTCCGATCATGTTACTACGTGGAGTGCTAAACTCCCATCTCCCTCCCTTTGTTAGAGGATCTAACTTGTGAAAATTGAGGGTTTCCAGAAAGCTGTGAGGCTTCCCTCTGTGTGGCCGGACCTCTGCGACCCGTATGAGTGAAGGTTTTATGAGATCACCACAGGTGAGGGTCTTCTTAGCTTTGTTGTAAGGGTCTGAGTCTTTTCTGAAGGATTATTGTGCTGGGAACAAGGTGATACTTTTTATTTGTGTTTGAATTTGGTGCCAGTATTTGCTATAAATTATTGGGGCCTTATAGGATTGTTCTTTGGTCACAGTCTTCTCTCAGATAGAAAAGAACAAAGTTACCAGGATGATTGTATCCATATTTGTCAAGTGCTTCCTGTTTCTATAAAATGTATCTCACCATATTTGAAGGAAGTTCCACCCTCTCTACATTGCTGCTCTACAAAGTGAGTTACCCCAATCTTGTTGAAATGAGGAATAACCAAAACACCTTCTTTATGGTAACCTTTTCTGGTGGAGTGCATGTGTTAGTGTCTGAAACAGATGTATGAAGTATGTGGTGCCTTTAAGTGCTTAGAAGAAAAATGTGAACATTAAGCTTTTTTGATGGGAGGTATAATGAGAGGCAAAGGTTAATGTGCTTCTAGTAGTGTACTCAGAGGAAATTCACTGAGTGAAAGCCTTCATGAAAGGGCAGGCTATGCACAAGTTGGTATCAGCCTTACTCCAAAGAAGAAAAATGCATCCTACTGAAAAACCCTGTTACAGAGTTCACAGTCAGTGAAATAAAGGCCTAAAATATTCCACATAAGATAAAGCTTCCGTTAGACTTAGAAGGTGCTTAAGTAGGAGCTCACCATAAAAATTGAGCATGTTTCTTTGCAGTAAGGGTATCAGACCTGGGGTCTTGATCTTGTTGGGCAAGTAGTCTACCCCCTTAAACCTCACCTCCTCATCTCCTCTCCTACCTTTTTGAAACTTGTCTTTGATGTTGGGTCTCAGACTGCGCAGGCTGGCCTTGAATTCTCAATCTCCCTGCTTTTGCCTCCTGAGTAGCTAGGATTATAAACATGTACCACCATGCTGGGTTTAGCATGTTTTGTTTTTCTTTTTTTAAAGTTTGTTTTATCCTGGGCCAGAAAATATTTTCAAGGAACTGCTCTAAATTTTGCAATTAAGTTAATGAAGGATTAAATTAATAAGTTCCCATGGAAATTTATAGAAACTTTCACTTTTCCAGAAAGAAATTTGTTAGTTTTCAGAAGCTAACAGCAGCTGACACAAACCTACAGCTCATAATCTGATCAATGTGCGGTTACAGTTTTAATAGCTTCTTCTTAGACACACGAACTATATTGAAAACAGAGCTTCAAATGTACATTTTCAACCAAATGTAGATTCAGGAATGTTGACTTCACTTTACACTTTTTATTCTACATGTTTGTCTGTGTTAGTCTTCAAGACTCCAGGAAGAATATCAAGTATGCTTTCTTCGTTTTGCAAGTGTGTTCTGTTATACGCAGTAGGGCTATACAAGGAAGTTCTTTGGAAAGAAGACCTTACAGATTGTTTCTTAACTTGGTCCCATCTCGTGACTGTGTGCCCAAAGAGGAAATGAGATGGCATGCTCAGCGTGTGAGAAATGAGGACTCCTTTCTCCCCCGGCCTCTAGAGCCTGTTCGCTGTGTCTCTGAACACTGTGTGAAGCTGCTAATACTTCTTCTTGGCTAGCCTTAGGAAATGGGGTTCGTGTTGGAGATCAGAAAGCCAGCTGGTGCTTCCTCCCACCGTGCTATAATTCTAGCACATGAGGCTGAGGCAGGAATATCTTGAGTTCAGTCAAAGCCAGTCAGGCTTTGGGTGAGACTGTGTCTCTATATAAATCATGGGCTGGGGCTACAGGTCTGTGGTGGAGTGTTGCCTAGCTAGCATGCACGAGGGCCTGGGTTCAATCCTCAGTACTATCCCAAACTAAAACAGCACGGTAAGGGGTGGACAAAAGAGAAGTCAGCGTCCCAAGTGCTCTTGGTGGTAATGTCTCTTCCTTAGCTATAAGGTACAAAGTTCCTGCTAACTTTTTTCTTTTGATTCTTTTCCATCAACAGTTCTTCATTAAAATATATTCTTGCCCTGGCTTAATAACTTGGGAAACTCAAAATTTACAATTTTCTCTCCCCCTCCTGCTAGGTGCTGGATAGTTTACTAGTCCAGTATGGAGTGGTGGAGAGCTGTGAGCAAGGTACAAGTCTTCTGAATTGCTTTCAATTTTGTAAGAGGAAGGAAGGAAGCAGAAAGAAGACTAACTTTGATTCTCTTTGTTTTTCTCTTTCTCCAGTGAACACTGATTCCGAAACTGCCGTTGTAAATGTAACGTATTCCAGCAAGGACCAAGCTAGACAGTAAGCAGTTTGAATCGTACCTGTTATTCAGCCGATGAAATACAGTAACTTAGATTTTGTGAATTTCTAAAGAAACTTCATTTGGTAAAGTTCGATCCTGCAAATATACCTTTTGTCTCACATTTGAATGTCCAGTAAGAATCTGCATCGGTCTCGGTTTATTCCCTCTTTAGCAGCTCCACAATATCCTTCGTAGATTGATGTAGTATGAAGCTGAACCACAGCCTACTTGCAGAAAGGCCTGAGCCTGGATATTGTTTCCAAACCACATAAATTCCTTTTCCTCCCACATGTGACACATTATTGCTATTCTATTTGAAACTGGTAAGTTGATCATGTGTTAAGCCAACAGGAGTCAAGTGTTCTCTTTTCTCCCTGAATTCTCTAATGATTCTACTAACATTCAAAAGCTGTCAGACATTGAGCCAATGTTGCTTTTAGATTTAGACAGCATAATTAATAAAACTTCACAGGTGAATTTCCGGTAATTTTGTATGCTCCAAATGACCAAATGAATTGGAGAGGAAGAGAGAATGGCAGACAATGTGAGAGAAAGAGAGAGAATGAGGGTCCCACAAACCTGGCCTTTGTTGGCTGCGTTTGGGACATGGGCACAGGAGCGTGACAGAATCCCCAGCAGCACAGCGCCCAGTGAGTGGCAGCTGACTGTGGGAGACCTTAGGCCTTTCTGTGGGAATGGCCAAGGTGCCCCACGCCTCTTCCTGAGCCCTATGGGGAAAAGGTAAAATGAACTTCCCTGTCACCAAAGGCAGTATACACACAGAGGCACTACAAAAGGAAAAAGAGTCCTAGGAAGAAGGTGGCCATTTAGGAGACACATGGAACTTTTATTTTAAAATGAACCATATCTACATGGCTCAAAATTGTGAAAATCGAAAGATGTACATAGTGTGAATCTTTCCAGTGTTGTTCCCCAGTGACCTTGGCTCTGTCAGGTAATCCTGTGGAAGACAAATATGTGCTTCTATTTTTCTTTTATGAAAATGATACTTTGGTAGTGGCTTAGAATATGAATATAGACTATAGATGTGAAGTGATTGTTTTAGTTAATCCCTCATTGGATGTTTAGACTGTCCCAGTCAGAACAGTGTCGTGGGGAATTCCTTTTGCAAATGTCACTTTTGGCACCTGTGTGCATGTGACTACAGGATAAATTCCTGAGGTAGAATTACATTTGTGATTACCCTTTGTAGACTTGAAGTCATTTAAATATCTTTAGCACTGTGAGGTCTTGTTCATACACTCCCAAATAAGCGCTTTATCAATAGAATGAAAGATGAAAGTCATATCCCTTTCTGTTACCCGTGGCTCACACCTGTAATCCTAACTACTCAGGAAGCTGAAATCTGATGATCATGGTTCAAAGCTGGCCTGGGCAGGAAAGTTCATAAGACTCTTATTTCTGGTTAACTACCAAAAAAGCTGGAAGTGGAGCTGTGGCTCAAGTGGTAGAGTACTAGCCTTGAGCATATAAAAATCTCAGAGTCAGAGCCTAGGCTCTGAGTTCAAGCCCTAGGGTTGACATTAAAAAAAGAAGGGAGTCTGAAAAATTTTAACGTTTACAATTTTTTAATTTTCTTTTGGTTGTCCTTTGTTTTAATGAACAAAGGTTGCAAACAGAAGGAAGAATATATGTGAGGTCTTAGACATTATAAAATTGTGGTGTGTTTAATTCATCATCTCTATCATGTAAGAAGATCATCCCGCTTTAAACCATCAGTAGATTGGGAGGTGAACTGATGCTGGGGGAAAAGCAGAGGCTCCATGGTTCTTATATGTTTTATGCTCACTGAAAGATCTTCTTGGATTTTTGACAAGTTGAGTCTTTATAAGATGGAAAAAATGGTAGGATCTGAAAGCTTGTACAAGGCTAGCAAGAAGAAGGCAACAAGGCTTACTTGAACTGGTGAAGTCATGGGAAACACATGTTGAAGACATACCTACATAGCTTTGGCGAGGCAAACTTAATAGAGACAAAGTAATCGATAATGTAGCGTGTAGCTAGTTCCTGGCTCCTCTTAACAATAATCTAAAAAAAATTCCAAGGCATTAATGAATATAAGTACTAATCTTTGGGGGGAGGAGAGGAAAGGGGTCTGCCTAGAAAGGATTGATCTTAACATGACAACAGCTGAATGTGGAGAATTGTGGTTGTAAGAGACTGAGCAGAGTCTTAGTGATACCAAGGAGGTAGAGAAGAAGGTGTTAGGAATTGTGTAATTTTGGTAATTAGGTAACATAGGCAGATAAATTAGGCACTTGAGTTAGGAGAATCATATCCATTTACTCAGTTCTCGTTATACTGAGTACTAATTCTTGGCCACAAGCTGACAAAGGCCACATCCTTGTGCGCAATGATGTTCTTCCTGGGTCCAGAGAGCTCTTGGAAAGGGAACACCTGAATTTAGTTCCTGTCTGAGTCAAGTAGCCTTAAAGAATATTGTCCTCCAGCTAACTGCCACAAATTCCAAGATCAAAGAGAATTTGAACTCCATTAGGACATTTAAAGAAGGATAAAGGGTATTTCTAAAGCATAGAAAACTCAGTTTGGAGCCAGGTACTGGTGGCTGTAATTCTAGCTACACAGGAGGCTGAGATCTGACGATAATGGTTCAGTCAGCCCAGGCAGGAAAGTATGTGAGACTATCTCCAATTAACCATCAGAAACTGGAAATGACGCTGAGATTCAAGTGATAGAACCCCAGTCTTGAGCAAAAGTGCTCAGGGACAGTGCCCAGGGCCTGAGTTCAAGTCCCATAACTGACAAAACAACACAACAACAACAACAAAACTCACCAAAAACTCAGTTTGTGACAGAATTATCAAATGATCTGTTAAGGTTTTCAATACTTTTAAAAGGGATATGGAGTGTGATTTATCATTCTGAGAAGGAAATTCATTTTGAGTCTCACTGGATTAAAGTCTCAGAGAAAATATGGACCTGGAGTCAGGCATATTGACTTAAAAAACTTGAGATTTCAGGTTTTTTCAGGTACAAAACAAAGATTGAAAAGAAACATCTCCACCTATATGGGTACATATAGAAATCCTGGCACTCTCACCCACTAAGTAGTGACCCAGGAAGGCTGATCCCTCTAGGGCTTGCTCCACAGAGCCCTTCAGGCCTGCATGCGCACGTGCTGCCTGAACCAACACGACGTCATTTCTCTATGCTTTCCTTAGCTGGCTACATCAAGCTCAAATCTTCGTCACAAGGGCTATCTTGTTCTTAGTTGAGTAGAGTCTGCTCCTTGGAAGTCTACGTGACTGGGGTAGATCTGGAAAGGTGTGGGTAGAGCTTGGAGGTTTACAGGATACGTTCCAGTGTCCATTTGTTGGGGGTCGCCCCCCTCTGGAGATATCTTAGATTTTGGTTAAGTTCTTGGTCATGGTTCAGCCTCATCTAATGGGGAAATCATTCCTTAGCCCATGAGGCTGTTGAGAGGCACTTAGATGGAGGCATAAGTACCTCCAAAACCACTTTATGAGGCTTGGGAATGCAACTGAGTGATACAACGCCCACTTAGCACATGCAAGGCTGAGGGGGTAGCCGTAAGACAGCCGTATACACCCAGAAGGTGGTGGGAGTGTCAAAGTTAGCAGCCAGTGTGCATTTTCTGGTATTGCTCTGTTATCCTACAGTACCTTGCTCTTCAGGTAATGAGTGGCCACTGGTGCTGAGGAGCAAGAACCTGAGTGAAGTTGTCTCCTCATAGCTCTGTGGAGGATTCCTCAAACACAGCTGCTTCTAAGACAGAATTTTCCATGGTGATTTCTGCCACCTTGTGGCTAAGAAAAACGAAGGCTTCCTAGCACATGTATTGAAAATACATTTTTCTAAGCTTGCTTTGAATCATTAAATTCTTGAATAAAATTAATAGAAACAACAAAAGTTAAAAACTCATTAGGAAGAGATGTTTGTGTTTAGCAGGTGCAGTGGATTGAGAGGCTTAAGCCTCTGCTTACCTACTTCCTCTTCCAGGAATGCTAAGGTAAAGCCCTCAAGGATTGATAATGCTCTCTGGAAGATGATCATGCGTGACAAGGAAATAATCCTGTCCAGTGTGTAGATATTTAGTTCTTATGTTGACTTTTGCTTGATGATCCAATTTTCGATGTGGCTTTCTATGGGATTACAGGAATGTCGGTAGTTGGAAGTGATCAGTGCAGATCTGTTTCTGTCAGTGTAAGGCTCTCTGTCAAGCACAAGTCATTAGGGTTAGAAGTGTTTGAAACAATTTGGCTCATGGCTGTGGGGAGGAAATTCCCATTGAGGTTTCAAAATTGATGTAACTAGATTTATTGTGGAAAAGAACTAGGATCCCCCCACTCAGAAGGCTGAGATAACAGTGTTGCAAGTTCCTTGTAGCCTGGGCTACATAGTAAAACACTATCTCAACAACCAAAACACAACAAAATGAAACAGATGGCTCAAGAAGAAAGATAAGAGAACATCTTGCCATCCAAAGATAACTACTGCTGCATTTTTTTTTTTGCAGGATCCTGAGCACACCTGTTAGATAACCATCCTTGAGTTCTACTGAACTGAGGGTGTATGTTTTGAATAATTATGAGGACAATGTTCGCCTCATATCTTGCCGATACAGTAGGCTATGTGAAGATATTTAAAAAGTTTTCCCATGAACTTAGAAGACCCTCCCGTGTGACAGAACTTATTAAACTCTGAGCACGGGAGGTTTCAGCAGCTTAGTTAGAAGAAAGCCATTGTACTGCAGTTAGCTTCCTCCAGGGCCTTTTCAGTTATTTCCAAACTTGGAGGACTAGACTCTGCTTTGTTAGCTATTTGTCTTACTCCAGAAAGGTTATTTACCCATTTCGTAACATAACCGATTTAACTTGTAGTCAAAATTCTCTTTCTCCTCCTTCCCCCTCTTCTCCTTCCTCTCACTCTCTTCTCCTTCCCTACCTCTCCCTCCCCCTCCTCTCTTTCCTCCTCCTGTCTTCTTCCCTTCTTTCCCCTCTCCCTGTTTTGATGCTATCGGGATTTGAACTTGGAACCTTGTGCTGGCTAGACAATACTCTTCCATTGGAGCCACACCTCCCACCCTCTTTTAGAAGCTAGCATTCCTCAGTTTTATAATAAGGTGTGAAATAGAACTGTCCTTGTCTACATATGTAGTTAGTCTCTTCACTGTGCTCAAGACTTCCCCCCCCCCTTTTTTTATTGTTATTGTGAAAGTGATATACAGAGGGATTCTGTTAACTGAGTCAGGTAAAGAGTACATTTCTTTTTGGATAATGTCACCGCTTTCCTTGCTGTATCCCAGAGTTTCCCTCCCATCCCCCCACAAGCGGTATAGTTCATTTTCTTTTATATTTTCTTTTTATTGTAAAGGGAATGTGCAGAGGGGTTTTAGTTATGTAAGTCAGGCAATGAGTACATTTCCTTTTGAACAGTGTCATTTCTTCCCTTCTGATACCCTCCCCCACAAGGTATATAGTACATTTTCAACATAGTATCACTGCTGCATTTGTTTGCCTTTTGTCTTTCCATTTCTGTGTGGACTCAGGCTTTTTGGGAAAAACATTCTACTTCCAAAAGTTGTTTTGACTTTTTAATTGGTTGAAGTTTTACAACTCCAACTTTCTATAATAAACACATATGAATATTAATAGAATTTCTCAGTTGTTCCCTTTAGAAATAAATTATTTTAGGGCTCTAAATCAATATTTCCTTAAGGAAAAAGATCTCTAGGGGCATGGCTCAAGTGGCAGAGAACTGTCTAGCAAGCACTGCAAAAAAGAAGAGCAGAAGAGCAGAGAACGGTGTGGCAAAATCTGCCATGCAGTCATTGCTGAATAGTATGTGCCTTGTGTAATCAGCCCACTCAGACATAAAATTGTATGGAAACAGCCTGATACTGTATGTGAAGGAAAGCCAAACACAAGGCAATGCATATAATCCCAATTAGACATTTTAATGGTGCCAGTCCTGGAGCTTGAACACAAGGTCTGGGCACTGTACCCGAGCTTTTTTGCTCAAGGCTAGGGCTCTACCACTTGACCCACACAAGCATTTATTTATTTAAAGATAAGAGTCTCACAGATTTTCCTGCTTGGACTGGCTTTGAACCATAATCCTCAGATCTCATACTCCTGAGTAGCTAGGATTATGGCCTGAGCCACCAGTGCCTGGCTCCCAATGAGACTTTGAAAGAAGGTACTGCACATGTCCGTGTGTTTGTAAAATATGGAAAGGACTGGCCCATTGGCAGGGTGTCACAGCAAACAAGGTCTGGCAATGGCCTCAGAGGGTTGTTGGTGACTGAGCAATGTCCCATTCCTTCTGTATTTCTGTGTGGCTTGAGGTCTCTGACAGTAGGTTCATTCATGTGTTAGGAAAGGAGGGCAGGACAGTGAATTGAGGGACATGAGCAGAATTCTGGACCTGAGGATGCCAATGAGCCTTCAGAGCTGCTTGTCTGAGCCCATTGTGATTCCATGGTTTCATTGTCCTGTAGGAGACTAGGAAAGACCATCTTCTCTTATTTCTCTCCTCACCATCTCTATTCCTCTCCCTTTCCCCTTTCCTTTTCCTCTCTCCCATCCTCCCCCTCTCACAACATTCTTCTTTTCCATGGAGAAGTGAACGTAGTTCTTCAAGTAAAGGCACAAACAGGAAAAACACAACTGACACCAGAACACAGAACAGCTGGAGAGCGCATTTTATGCCACTTTTTTTTCTTTTCCTGTGTGGACTGAACTTGGGGCCCTTTGGAACAGAATCTGAGCAAAAATTGGGTGGCCTACGAAAGATGTAGGACTTTGCTTCTTTTCCATTTTGTTATCATTAGGGAGTTAAAAAAAGGGATGTTTTAAGAGTGATTATGTATATTTTTGAAGTCCTGGTTATATACACTAACCTAACTATTGACTTTTCTCCTTTTAAAATATATGGGTATGGGGCTGGGAATACGGCTTAGTGGTAGAATGCTTGCCTAGCATACATGAAGCCCTGGGTTCTATTCCTCAATACCACATACACAAAAAGCCACAAGTGGCTCAAGTAGTAAAGTGATAGCCTTGATCAAAAGAAACTCAGGGACAGTCCCCAGGCCCTGAGTTCAAGCTCTAGCACTGGACAAAATAAATAGGTAAAATACATGGGCATGGTAGAATAAAAAATGAATAAACCTAAAAACATAATAAATAAGATACCAGACATGAGAGAATGAATACTTAGTAAATACATGCATTATATGTATATATACTTATACAGACTCAATGGAATTTAAAAATAGGCAAAATTTCATGTCAAAAGTCTGGGAGAGAGGCAACTACTACAAGGAGGCCCTTGCTGGGTGCTCTGTGGCGTGGATTTAGTGTGTAGGTCTACCTTGCTAAAATTCAGAGATGTTTGCCTAAGATTTGGGTGCTTTTTCATACAACTGTTAATGAAGTCAAAAGATGGGGGTAAAGGGGCCAAATAGATGCCTAATGTATTGGATAGATTAAAAACTAGGCCATGTCCATCCTTCTCTCCTTCTCTTCTCAAGTTTCTTGTTTGTTATCTCCCTGTGTCATTGTGATAATTCAGATCATAAACCCTGAAAAGACTACCATTTTCTAGGGTTAAGCTTGTAATAAAGTATTGAAATTTTACTGAATGATTGACTACCTGAAGTAGTAAGTGCTATTAGTCCCCTATCCATGGTTTAGAGATATTTGTCCACTAGATATGTAAATGTTTTACATATTTGTGTAAGGGGACGAATTAGTATCTTTTCCATCCTGGTTTAGAAACACTGGCTATGACAAGTACTCATTCATTCTTCTCATTTCTAAGCTGATTCGCCTAAGGGCTCAATGGTGAGGCCAACAAGATTTATGTATTTGCTTTTTTTCATTGGTAGGAGGTAGAACCTGTTGCCCCCCCCCTTTTTTTACTAGTGTGAATTTCAAAGGAGAAATAAGGGTGGTTATGGGAATGTGTTTGGGGTGCTTGTTGGAGCTAGCAATTCTGAGTGGGGCAGATGGATGCTTCTTTATGTAAGGATATATCATATCAGCCCGTTTTCCTTCCCGCCCCCTGTGAACTTTCAGAGCCTTAGACAAACTGAATGGATTCCAGTTAGAGAACTTCACCTTGAAAGTTGCCTACATCCCCGATGAAATGGCTGCCCAGCAGAACGCCTCGCAGCAGCTCCGAGGGCGCCGTGGACTTGGGCAGAGGGGTTCATCCCGACAGGGGTCTCCCGGATCAACATCCAAGCAGAAACCCTGTGACTTGCCTCTGCGCCTGCTTGTTCCCACTCAGTTTGTTGGAGCCATTATAGGAAAAGAAGGAGCCACTATCCGGAACATCACCAAACAGACCCAGTCTAAGTGAGTATTACTGAGTGTGGTGGGTGTTATTAGACAGGGTGTGGTTTGTTGTGAAGAAGGTTAGGAGTCCTCTATTACAGTACTTGGGAAGGTTGAGGGGTAAAATCCAAGCTTGAGATTTGATAGCTTAGTGTTCACCTTTGTATAAACCTCAAAGGGAACCTCAAATTTTCACACATGAATGGCAAACAAATGACACCTGATCACCTGTTGGGAAAGGCCCTGGCAGACAAAAGGGCAGCATCTGAGTTGTCCTCTGCCTCTTCCCTCCTCCCTGCCAGCAGTCAGTGCTTGGCAAATCGCTCTGTGGGACTAGTCTGTTTTCTCTGGGGCATCAGGTTAGTCCTGCTTTACTTCAGTAAAGAATTGCTGGTTCTTGGGGGCTGGGAAGGTGGCTCAGTGGTAGAGCACTTGGCCTTGCATGCTCGAGGCCCTGGGTTCGATTCCTCAGCACCACATAAGAAAAAAGCCGGGCCGGGCGCTGGTGGCTCACGCCTGTAATCCTAGCTACTCAGGAGGCTGAGATCTGAGGATCTCGGTTCAAAGCCAACCCGGGCAGGAGAGACCGTGAGACTCCTATCTC